AGGAATTAAGAGTTTTTCTCGGGAGTTAGCTACCTCCCACATAGGGCCGTGTCCAAGTCGCCCCAAACCCTGATCGATCTCCTCTCCTGACCACACAGCCCCGTGTCCCCCACATGGCTACCTCCCCCGGCCCGGCATCTTCTCCACCTCCAGAGGAGAGTCTCGGGCCAAAGAATTAGCGCTGAAACACAACTGACAGATCAGAGTCCAGATGCGCCCTCCCCGTTGTGAAACTCCCATAGTTCCAACCACTCTGGGCACCAAAGCGTGCTCAAGTGACCGCCGCCAAACACTCCCCTGCATGAAGCTGAACTGACTCTGCCCCAGCCAGCACAGCCCTGCAGAGGCAGTGGGAATCGGGACCTCTGGCAAGGAACAGCCATCCTGGACACAGACCCATTTGTGCCGTGTATCCTGCCAAGCATGAACACCAATGCATGACCCTGGCTCTAGGACAGTGACCTGGTGATTCCCCCAAGGTGACTGAGCACTGAGCCACCCTGTCCTGGCAGTCCACAGTGCACAGTAGGTCCCTTCGGTGCTATCCCACACTGCTGTGCGCTCCCAAAGTGCAAAGAACTCCGCTGTGGCAGGGGAGAGCCCACAGGGGCAAGAGGACGTACTTGAGCCCTAAATTCAACGTGAGGAGCCACACTCTCAGAACCACAGGGAGAGGGAAGGTCGGACGTCTGTCCTTGGAGCAGCAGGCCCTGTGAAGGTTAAGGCGCTGGATCCCACTGGCTGGCTCGGGTTGGAGTCCCTGCAATGGAGCTTTAAGATCTCACCCGGCACATGGGCACCAGGACCCAAAAACCCCAGAGACTGGAGGAGGAGGGATTGCTGTGTGGCCATCCCCAGAGGGTGATTTGTTGCTCTCTCAACAACTTTAATAAAAAGTAATAATAATAATCGTCTGTCCTTGGAATTGCTGAAGCATACCCAAGGAAACTAGATGTGTTGCCCCTTTGTGTAAGAGGTCATGGTCTAGGTGTTGTGCCTCCCTCCCGGTTCACTGTCTTTTTCCCAGCACTGTTGACCTAGGTTTGGGTTGGTGGTGAGAATAACACAGATCTGGGGCTTGCAGATGGCATGGTGTTTGAGGCGCTGGATTCTCACATGGCCAACTGTGGTTTGAGTCCCCAACTTGGCAGCTTGCTTTCTCACTTTCCTTCTCTCTCTGTCTCTCTCTATCAGGTCAAATTGAATAATAATAATAAATTAAATTAATAATTTTTTTTTAAAAAGTTTAAGACAGAGATGGCCTAGCCTAGGTTAAGTGGGCTGGATCCCACAAGCCAGCCACAGCTGGGGTCTCAGTCCAGCTGCTTGAAAAATAGGATGGAGTGATGGAGAAGGGGTTGCTACGTGACCATGCCCCACTGGAGGGGACTACTTTCTTCTCTCTCTCTCTGTCTCTATCTCAGCGTGGTCACCCTCTGGCAATTAAAAAAAAAATTCATAAAAGGAGACAGAGAGCTGGCCGAAGGAGAGATGACTTCTGTATATTGCTGAGAAACCCTTGGCTTAGAGGAAGGAAGGGGTGGACATTTTGGTTTCTGGCAAATGACCTTCCTCCTCTTCTTCTTCCTCCCCCCGCTTCCTTCTCCTCCTCAACAAGCCACAGTAGCCTGATCCTTGTCCCTGCCCACGCTGACCTTTCCAAGTGGCATGGCCCAGTCCCCTTCACCTGCCCAGCACCACCACTGACCACCTGCCAAAGGCAGGCCAGCCTTTGCAGGCTCCCCTCCTTAAATCCAGCACTCTGCCACCTCCTCGCGTCCTTCTTTCCCGCCCTTGCTGGGACCTCAGCTTCAGGATCTGTGGAGTCTCCCAGCTCTGCCAGCCCCCACTTTTCCTCCCCATTCCATCCCAACATAATCCTAGAGCCACCTGTTTCTCCTCACCAAGGAAATCTGCACCTCTAGGAAGCCACAGAACCACTGAGCCCCTCCCCACCTGGACCAGCCCTGTCTGCTCACTGTCACCTAGCCAGGAGTGGATCACTCCAAGGCTCCTGAGACCAGCAGCAAACACATCTCTATCCTCCGCCTAGCCTCCCCGAGGGAAAACGAAGGAAACATGGCTGGAATCAGAACATGCTGTGTGTATGTGTATGTGTGTGTGTATTTACGTGTATTTAATGAGCACCTTCTCTGCAAGAGCAAATGTCAGAGCCCCGGTTGAAAACAAAGACGTGTGTCTCCCAAGTGCGGATTTGAAAGCAGGGAACCGGTTTGCCCACACAAAACCTCTGGCTTGAGGTTCACAGGGCATTTGCACGCAAGGAGAAGCAGGGCAGGACCAACTACTTGCTCATTTTGATTTGATTTGCAACTCAGAGGCTGGAAACTGGCCACAATGCTCAAACACGGTTAACTGACTTCTCACAAACCCTCCTCTCCAACCACTGTCTACGTTCCAAGCCTTCTCAGGTAGATACCCAGCAACTCTGAGACCACCTGTGCTGTATAACCACGGGGGAGGTAGAAAGCACATGAAATTTTGAATCAGGTCTACTTTATAGCTGTGGAGACTGGGCCAAATAACCTCCCTGGGACTTCAGTTTTCTCATCTGTAAAATGAGGATCCTCAGGACCAGCAGTTAGCGTAATGGCTATGTCGCTGGATTCCCACGTAGTTAACCGTGGTTCGCATCCCGGACCCAGTGGCTTAAAACTCACGCCGGGTGTGTGTGCGTGCATGCCCAAGATCCCAAGAGGAGAACAGAGAAGAAGGGATTGCAGCGTGGCCACCCCCTGGGGGGTGATTTCTCGCTTTCTGTCTCTCTGTCTCTCTGTCTGTCTGGCGAGTGCACGCGCCCTATAGCAAAAAACTTCTCCAAAAATAAAAATAAAATGAGTATCCTAATCCCTACCTGCCCCACAGGACTGCTGAAAGTATCAGAGGAGATCATGTATAAAAAATAGCTTTGCAGGGTCCAGCGGGTGGCATGGAAGTTAAGGCACTGGACTCCCACATGGTCAACCACAGGTGAGTCCTGACCCAGCAGCTTGAAAATCACCCCGAGTGTGTGTGCATGCATACCCAAAATCCCAAGAGGAGAATGGAGGAGAAAGGATTGCAGAGTTTCCACCACCGTCCCCCACCCCGGGGGGAGTGATTTCTTGCTTCCCCTCTCTCTGTCTCTCTTCTGCTAGTGCATGAGCCCTATGGCAAAAACCTAAAAAAAAAAAAAAAATTGAAAACCATAAAAACTGGTATTGGCAGGTGGCAGTGTGGTGGTTAAGGGCACTGGACTCTCACATGGCTGACCACGGTTCAAGTCCCCCACTGGGTGGCTTGCCTTCTCACTTTCCCTCTCTCTCTCTCACACACTGTCCTTCTCTAGTCAAATTCAAATAAATAAGTAAAGTTAAATAAAATAATTCTTAAACACACACACACACACACACACACACACATAAAAACAAAAGAGAATGACGTTCACCACCTCCAGCTGTGTGAATTGTGAAGGCCCCCAGACAGGAGCCTTGCAGGTGGGCAAGGAGACCTGGATTCTAGTCCTGACTTGCTACCAGGTTATCGTGCAACTTATGTCTCAGTCACCCCATCATTCTGGGCATTGCTCCTTTGAATGAGAAATGAAAAGAGACCTTCCCCAGCCCTTGAGGATCCCCACGGAGGTGGCCTGAGGCAGGACAGCTACCAGCAAGGTCACAGAGGACAGGAGTGGGTTGTGCAACGTGAGTGGAACATTCCTCCAGCTTCCAAAACAGCTCTGGGTTGTCAACAAGTGCCACTTCCTCTAGCCCTCTGATAGGAACTCACAGTCGAGGTGGGGGGTGTAGACTAAGGGGAGGCAGTACCCCCTCTGCCTGAACCTCAGCTCACATGGCCTTGTTCTGATGAAGCCCAGCATCACGATTAAAAGCAGCCCCCTTAGTAATTCAATGATAGATGCACAGCTGTGTGTATAAATGTCTTGAGGGGGAGCCAGCAGGTGGCGTAGTGGTTAAGGCACTGAACTCTCTCACATGGTCTATCACAGTTCTAGCCTGGATCTGGTGACTTGAAAATCGTGCCAGACATGTGTGCATGCATGCTTAGAATCCCAGAATGAGAATGGAGGCAAAAACCGAAAAAAAGAAAAAAAGAGAAAAAAAAAGAAAGTCATGAGTCTACAGACGAAGAGTTAACTGCCCTCCTCTGTCTTCCTGCCCTTCCTAGGCCACTGGAGATGAGGACAGGGAAAAACCAAATAGAGGTCACGGTGTCCCACATTTTTATACAGATAGAGTCATGGTTAAAATAGCAACAAGGACGGTCACAAAGAGATGGAGAAAAAAGTCCCAAAAGCCTCATTTGACTTCTTCCTGTTCTTTCTCACCTCCTGGCCTTCCCACATACTCCCCCTCCCCCCAGTCCCTGGCTGGCCCCTTCCGGTCATCCTTCAGGTTTTAGAGAGGCTTCTCTCGGTACCTAAAGCTAGTTTCCATTGCTCACTGTAAGGCTAGAGTGCTCTGTAATCTTTTACACTTCCTCTCTGGCCACATTGCTTAACTAATTTTTTTTTTCTTTTTAAAGATTTTTGCCATAGGGTACGTGTGCGCAACAAAGAGAGACAGTAAGAGAAAAAGTGAGAAATCACCCCTTAGGGAGATGGCCACGCTGCAACCCCTTCTCCTCTGTTCTCTTCCTGAGATTGCTGGGCATGCACACACATGTGCCCAGCATGATTTTCAAGCCATCGGGTCCGGGATTTGAACCACGGTCAGCCACATGGGAGTCCAGTGCCTTAATCACCACACCACCTGCTGGCCCCCACATTACTTATTTAACCC